GTCCCAACACTGGGACAGGCTTCCTAGAGTGGTGGTCAATGCCCCAAGCCTGTCGGTGTTGAAGAGGCATTTGGACTATGCCCTTAATAACATGCTTTAACTTTTGGTGAGCCCTGAAGTGGTCAGGCAGTTGGACTAGATGATGGTTGTAGGTCCCTTCCAACTGCAACTATTCTATTCTATTCTAAAATTGTACCTATGTATGAAGTACATTCAGCAGGGCTTTGCAAGTAGCCTGTATTCTGGTCTTCTCTTTGAAAAATCTCTGTTGAAATGGAAATCCTCAGGTTTCCTCACATGCTAGGCCAAATAAAACAGCCTTTGTAGGGCTGGCATCACCTCTTCCACGGAGAGTGAAATCTTCATCCTCCAGTGTATGTCTCCATTTCATTGAGTGGGTAGCACCGTAAGACTTTCATCTGCCTCTCATGTTCATTTCTGTCATTGAAGTTTTGTATTTGTGCATCTGTCCTTTGACAATTAGTTCCAACATGCTGTCCAATTTTGGATCATGTTCTGACTAGGTACCTCTCAGGCACTGATTATCTTTCTGATAATTTACCTTTCATTTTCCATCTTTCACTTGTTCTTTTAAGGACATTTTAAATTATATTTCAAATCATTCTTAGTATTTATTCTCCCACTTCAAGCCTAGAGCTTCAATGGTGTTCAAGTCGCTCAAGTTCTCTATAGATACTCAGCTTGCAAAAATCTCCTTTAGTGCTATCTGCAGATTAATTTACCCTGCTACTTTATTCCTCCAGGAGACCACTGATGATGTTAAAAGAGAATGGATCTATACTCATCTTTTTCAGTACACACCTTCCCCTCAGTTAAGACAGTCATCTGTCATCTTTGTTAAAGTTCTTTCTAGTCATTTGCTTTTCATCTAACTGCTGACAGCCACACCAATGTGAACTCATGCTTCAGATAAAAATTTTTAGGGTTGTCCCATATAAAAATTTTACCATAATAAACTTGTCTAACTCACTTGATTTATAAGTTAAATTTTAATAGTTCATTCTTTACTGTTTCTTGAATATTAATTCCTTGTGAGGAATCAACTCACCCAGCAGCAACACAGAGTTAGAAAAGACTGTATTGAATCCTAAGGTCATAAACTAAGTATTACAAACCTAGAGGCAGCATTACAGGCTTGAATAAGTTTTACACAGGCTTTGGAAAACAGTTCAGAGAAACTCCATACTATCAGCCAGCAATGAGCCAGAGGAATACTAAAGATTTAAGTAATTGAGGAAAACACTGCATGTTTCTCTACACTTACAAGCTAGCAAAGAACAACTGCTCTCAATACCAGCTTCAAAATAAAACCCTGATGATTACAAGGCATCATCAGATTCCTCCTCAGAAGTATTGCACGGAGTGGTCGAAGCTACCATTAGCTAAGTTCAGTGTTTACCAGAACTTGTTTAGACCTGGGTAAGAGAAAGCATAGCTAGTGAAACACACAAGGAAGCTTGTGAACACCATCAAGAAGAAGAGCTAGTGAAAAATTACGTTGTTGAAACAAGCACCTAAAGCAGCAGATTGCCCATAGCATCTTGTGGGGAAAAGCTGAAGAGAACCCCTGGGAAGTGAAGGAACTAAGAGTTGATGTGAAGGATGCCGGTGCTTTCTTTGAGCATAATGAAGAGTTTGGAGGACAAAAATTGAGTACAATACCAGGTTATGTTTTAAAAAGAATGTGTTCCAGTAAGGGAATCTTCCTTCCTTTCCTCCCTCCCCCACCGCCCCCAATCTAATATGCCAAGTAGAATTGTTGCTGATGGTACACTGGAAGGTGGCTGGCTGAGCATTTTTCATGAATTTCAATGAGAGGATGGGGAATATTCAACAATACTTGTGAAAAAAAAAAAAAAAACCAAAACAGTGGAGACTTAGATATTCAAGTATTCAAAGGATTAATCTGAGTCCATAAAACATGGGAAGAACATTCTCTAGGAGTGAAAGATTCAAACTTTGAAGGGAGTTGAGATTTAAATGTGCAGGAAACACAATCGTCATTCTGTGAGAAGACCCCTGGAGTACCTTGTAAATGAGTACAACTTACAACTTCAAATACAGAAACAAAACATTTTAAAGGACAGGAAGATGGTTAAGAAGCTGGAGGACATATGCAAGTCTGCAGGCCTCTACATATGCTGTGGGAAGAGTTGTACAGTATCTTCACGGAATCCACAGAGCCCTTTAATCAGCAGACTGAAAGCTGTAAAAGGGAGTATCAACAAGCTCATGAGTTCTTGAAAGAAGTCAGATTTCATCTGTGTGTGGCTGAAGCCCTTACCTTCTGGCATTCTAATAAACCATTGATTTCTGACAGTATCTATCTCAGATTCCTTAGGTATCCATGAGTACTTTTCTCTATGCCAAAAATGCAAGGACGGAAACGTCCGAAGTGTGAGAGTTGTTTCCTAAGGTGTTGTGATGCATTGTGGAAAGAAGAGACGTAACACCATATATCCAAATCTGTGCCATGGGACTGTGCCTGGCTGCCCAATAAATTGCCTGTTCAGTGGCTGCTGAGGAGCATCATGCTACCCACCTCTTTCCTCAGAGTAACATGAACAGCTAGATCTTCCCCCACATCAGCAGCGTTGTGGGGACCAAGATTATTGCCTCTCAGTGACTCCTGAGTAAACAACTTCAGTTTACAAGTAAAGCAGAGAGACTGTGTTTGATTGCCTTGGAAACATGGAAAGCCAACCTCTTTTCACTATTCTCTCTCATCCTTTTCCTGCGATTTGCTGGCCAAATGGCATTCTTTGCAATACTTGTGAGGCTCACTTTCTGCAACTAACGGGTGATCTTGGCAAACAATTATTTTGCTGGTGTGCAAGAAAAGAGCAGAGTCTAGCTCCCTGAGCAGTGCTAACTGTGCAGAGAACAGAAGCAAAAGCAGCAAGAATTATTTTAGTAAAGTCATCAGACCCGATACATGGAGGAAATTTGCTGGGCAAGACAACATGATTTAACATTCCCAGTTTTCTAAGCATAACTTAATTTAAAAGGCAAAAGAAAGGTTGGTCTCTCACTATCATGTACAGAAGAGAGGGAAACAGTATTCAGCCTCCAACAGGAGGAAGGCTGAAGGAGCCTGTGACTGCACACCTGCTAAAGTGGACAGCTAGACAGGCACATATGCGATCTCTCTACACATGCATGTGCCCACACATGTCTAACTGACATCTATAGAAATGTATGGTAAGCATGTCCGTGTGTGTGTTGACCTACAAATGAATGTGTATGAGTGCACACACTCAGACCAGATGGAGCATGAACATTTTCAACCTGTTCATATGTGGTCAAACTTGTGGAAGCTGCTGCCATTGCCCTACCTGTATGCTCAGGTGCATCCCACTCCTTTTATGTGTATGATCACACCCTTTGTGTGCTCTGTGGGAAATACATTCCAGAGGATGCTGTTTGTGGTGAAACCCTTAAGCAGTTATTTGCCCGTTTCTTTGACTCCAAGTCTTTTCCCCATTTGCACAAACCTGGAGATACAAACTTATTTGACCCTGTCAACCACAAAACAGCTCAGAGGTGCTTTTCTGAAAATACACAATATCTGCAGTTTATTTTTCAGTTTGATATGAGGGGGCAGGGGTTGTTCAAGCACAGGCTTTTTTCTTAGACATGCATCCCATGGACGACTCAGGGCAGAGAGTCTCTAGTCCTTCACCAGCCGGTAGATGTGATGCTGAGCACCGTGGTCACTAGTTGACACCTCAAAAACATATGCTATGCACAGCAAGGTCTCCTGTGTGTCCCTGTTTGTCACAACCTAGACAGAAAAGGAGAAGAAGCTGAGATGGCAACTGCTGTTTCTCTGCTTACATATTCCAACACATTCAACATAGAGCAAAAAGTCAGTAATAGGCAAAGAGTGGAGAAGCACAGGAATGATACACAGCTCAGCCACTACAACCCCCAATCTATGTGCCCACACACGCAAACAAAGCACTTTTGCATCATCAGGACTACAATACAGTGAAGAGACAGGGAGGTGAGCACAGTCCACTGTGGAGAAAAGAAAGCTGTGACCAAGCAGCGACCACATAAGTGGAAGCAGTTCCACTAGGTCTTCTACTCCCCACCTCCTGGTGTTGCAGATTTCAGCAGAGAGAAGGTGTTTCACAGAAAATCTCTTTTTGCTCTGTTTGTTGGGTATAGAGAGGCCACCTCCTGTGGCACTCCTGCTCACGTATGTGTTGATATATCACAGCCATGAACAGTTCCTTCCCTCCATCTGCTCCTGCTTGTCAGTGGTAGACACAGACCATGAGGATTATACGGTATAACTCATTTTACAGGAGCCTTATAGGTTTGACTCCATTACACGTCCCATTCCATACACTGCAGATGTCAGGAGAAGGATGGCTGCTACACTCATGCATTCTTAGAGGAGCTCCTTTTTTTCTGTTTCTTTTTCTATGGTCCCTCAGGAACCTTAGCTTCTCTGCAATGTGACTCAGTGTCAGCAGCATGGTGATGGAACAGTGTTGTCCTAGCATGCACTGCCTACGCTACATGGCAGGGACAAGTGAAATGTTGCACCCAGAGCTCCTAGCTCAGCTTCCCTCTCTCTGTCACTGCAAAACTTTGCACATTCTTGTCATCTGAGTTTGTGCCATAGCTAAAGCTTCAAGCAGTTCTCTCCTGCTGGAGGAGATACGTTTTTATCAGCAGTAGCACCAACTCAACTGCAGAAGAAAAACCTACCAGCTGGAGACTTGAACTGTACCAAAGCCTAACTGTTCTTGTGAAAACAGAAAGAAAATAGCTGTTTTCGAACTTGCTTATTAATTTTAGCAGCCTGATTTCCGTCTGTTCTGTTTTCTTTTCTTACTTCATGATTGGCTTTGCAGCTGAACTAACATTTCTCCTTTCTTCTGCGGGCCGTTTTGAGTTATACACATCCAGGTGTGGTAAGGCACCAGAGCCTTTTCTGAAAAATGGGCTCTGAAATCTTGGAGGGCTAGATCCAGAGCAATGTGCAAAGCAAGATAAATCATGCTTGTGACATTAGGGGTATCTAAGCTAATGAAAGTGTCTAGAAAAAATATAATCAGACTTGCCTCAGAAGTTGGTAGTGGGGACTGAGGACTAGCAGCATGCCTTGCATTAAACATGACTAATTTTTCAGCTCTATGGTGGAGAGTGGGGGGTGGAAAATGCTCAGCCTGCTCCTCAGGGAGCAGGACTGCAAGGCAATATATGAAAGGCTAGGCCAGCACCCACATGAGATGCCTCTCTGTGACAGGAGGTAAGGAAAGGACGTGAGATTACTCAAAACATAAAAGCACCAGAGGACGTATAACTGTATGACAACTTTGTTCATAAAATTTATAGCAAGCGCTGGCCTGACTGAGGAATGAAACATACAGAAAGCAGTTACAGTGTTCCTCGGTATGGACCACAGCACACAGGCCTTCCATCTCTCTGTCCCTGCCCCCTTCATGCTTTTGCTTGTCTAAAAAAACTCTTAACATTTATACTCCTCTTTTCTTCCAGATGCTAAAGATCTTAGTACAAACATGAAAGGGTAGAATCATAGAATAGTTTGGGTTGGAAGGAACCTTTAAAGGTCATCTAGTCCAACCCCTGCTGCAATGAGCAGGGACATCTACAACTAGATCAGGGTGCTCAGAGCCCCGTCCAACCTGACCTTGAATGTTTCCAAGGATGGGGCATCTACCACCTCTCTGGGCAACCTGCCAGTGTTTCACCACCCTCATCGTAAAAAATTTCTTCCCTTAATCCAGTCTGAATCTACCTGCTTTTAGTTTAAAACCATTACCCCTTGTCCTATTGCAACAGACCTTACTAAAAAGTCTGCCCCTCTCTTTCTTATAAGCCCCCGTTAAGTACTGAAAGGCTGCAATAAGGTCTCCCCGCAGCCTTCTCTTCTCCAGGCTGAACAACCCCAGCTCCCTCAGCCTTTCCTCATAGCAGAGGTGTCCCATCCCTCTGATCATTTTTGTGGCCCTCCTCTGCACCCGCTCCAACAGGTCCATGTCCTTCCTGTGCTGAAGACCCCAGAGCTGGACGCAGTACTCCAGGTGGGGTCTCACCAGAGCAGAGTAGAGGGGCAGAATCACCTCCCTCGACCTGCTGGCCACGCTTCTTTTGATGCAGCCCAGGATATGGTTGGTTTTCTGGGCTGTGAGTGCACATTGCCAGCTCATGTCCAGCTGTTCATCCACCAGTACCCCCAAGTCCTTGTCCACAGGGCTGCTCTCAAGCCCCATTCCCCAGGGTAAAGCCTCCTAAAGCCCCGTGAGGTATATTATTAACCTTGTATTAGTAGCTGAGGTACCTGAGCCACAGAACAGTGAAATGAGTTGCCTGAAGTCCCACAAGGTCTCCAGAGGATGAAATGAAGACCACTTGATTTCCATTCTTTCATACAGCCTCTAGCATCTCTTCTACTTACCCAGCCTCAGGTTCTCTGGGCGAAGATCTGTGACACCTCTTGTAGAGGTGAGTACAGAACTCAGTCCATTAGGAAAATCCACCTTTTAAACTGTCTCTGCCCTCTTCCCAAATTTAGGCTGCATCTGAGCCTGGAAAGGCTCCTAGCATAACATAGACACTAATGTAAATCTAGTTGCTGTAGCCCTGTAGTACTGCCCTACCTAGAGGTTGCAGTGATTCATGAAGGTGTCACAGAGCTTCCCCCAACATGCCCCTTCCTTTACATGTCTCCATATTCTTTCCAGGTTCAGGATGGTCCTGAGGAAGCAACTTTTTTTTTTTTCCTACCTGGTCAGTGAAAAACTCTTCCCATGACAAAATTATATAGCCACTTAACAGTACTTTAACAGTACTCTTGTTTTTTTTTTACCTTGCAAAAAGGGCCAGGGCACAGAAAGGACCTCAACGTTCATCCAACAGTGGAATGAGCATTTCCTTCACTGACTTTTTAATCTTTCTCCTTCCTTTATCTCTGTGCCTCATGAGTTGTCCCTCTATCTTTCTTTTTTTTTCCTCTCTTACTTGGGTCTCTCAAATTCTTCTGCTGCTTCTCTGCATGAGTTACTATCTCTAGAGCTCCATAAATGGTCTTGAGGTGCAATACATGTGAGAGATACTAAGTTCAATTAGATACTGAGCTGTAAAAGGGAATCTGCTTTGACTCAGAACAGTGAACTCCTGCACAGGGCTTACATGTTTCCAAACTCCAACAAAAAGAGTTGAAAGTCCCACCTGTAAGATAGTAAAGTTCTCCAGCACACTGTTCATCATATACTTCTCAGGAAGGTGCTTGAGTTTATGAATGAAGTTTATCATGTATTCGCAGAGAGGGGAACGGTGAATGCGATAGGAATAGTGTCCATTTTCATAGCGTGCATACTCTGTCTGCAATGTAAAACACAAAAGGGGCATACGGGGCTAACATTAGTAGCATTAATCACATAAAGGGACTCAGAAAAGAAAAATTACAATGGCATTTTCAAGTCATTTTACTAACAGTAATGAGCTGATTAATCATTCCTCTATAGTACTTTGCACCAAGGTCAGTCCCTTTGAGCCCTCTAATTTCTTTGGATTGATTTCTTTTTTCTTTAGAACAGTGGGTTCCAGTTTATGAGCAGCAAACTGCCAAGGAGCTGTGAAAGGTAACTAAGAGGAGTAGACCAATTGTCAGCTATACTATGGTCTGGAAAAATATTAGGTGTGGATAAACTGAAGAAGTCAAAACCTAGTGCTTTAGCAAGACCAGGAAGCTCCTAGTAATGATGGTAATCATATGCTCAGGATGCTTCACAGCTTGAAAGGATTAAAGCCTTCTGGTACCTGTGAGAGGGAACATAGTATCTCTGCTTCCCCTTAGGAGAGGGTCTCGCCAATGTTAGAGATATTTTTGTTCACATTCACATCTTAGCTCCTGTATATTTCATCTTCCTTTGAACAGAAGCTGAGCTTGCATTTTGTCATTTCACAGCAGACCGTTAAATGCCCATTACCTCCTTTCACCCCAAAAGCTTGGTCTCCTTTCCTGTGCACCATGACACCTTTCTTTGGCCTATCTATCCCATCACGCAAATACATAACCAGACTTCAGCCATGTCTATCATATGACTGGAGACAGGTCTTGGGGAACGATGTTGCTGGAACTGACTGCTGACACGAGAACACCTGGTGTTCTGCACACAGCCGCTCCTCTTGCATCTAAAGGTCCCTTGAGAAAGCGAGCAGCAGGAAGCAGGTCAGAGCAGCTCTCTTAGCAGCTGAATGTGGCATCAGAAGGAATTTCTTCAAGGCCAGATATGTGCATAATTATGCAGCTCCACTGTTGCTCAAGCTGTAAGCGTACAAACACTAAGCCTCATAAAATCATAAGACTATGGTCTGTAAATTATTACAGTTGATTAATTAATGGCTATAGTCTATAAATGATCTGTTTAAAAACACTGATGAGAGTGAGGTGTTGCCTGTTTGTTTTCACCTTTCTGGACTACAAAACAAGGGTCCAGGTTTCTTAGCTTTTCTTTGCTCCCCAGAAAAACCCCAGAGAATCACCAGAGCTGAGAGTCTTACATATTCACGTGTCTTCAGAAACTGAGATTTAAGGAAAAAATAGCAAACACTGCCAGACCTTCAATGAAGTCCTGAGACAAGGCCATGTTGCAGGCTGGAGCAATCTTACACCTGCGTGTCTCAGAAATAATAATCTATGGCATTCATCTCCCTGACAACAAGCATGGGATATATTTTGCCTAGAGATATATGCAGGATGCAAATACTTGAAGTGGCAAAACAGCAGCCAGAGAGAACCTTGCACCCAGGTGTCTGCTCCCTACCTCCACTTTCTCCACCACCTGCTTTCCAAAGGAACACACTTTGGTGGAACAGGTAATGACCATGTTTTCTGGGCTCTCATATTGGCTGGAAACGCCATAGAAAGATCTGGATTCATCTTCAATGTTGGTGTTCAAATCAGCCTGCCAAAAAAAAAAGGGGGAAGAAAAATAGATGGTTATCAATAGATGGTTGTGGTGGTTTTTCACCATTGCCTAAAAGGGTCTTGCGTAGCCAAGATTGTAAGGTATTGGAGTGTCCAAAGCTCCTTAAGGAGATCAACGTGCATGAAGCAAGCAGGCGAAATCTGAAGAGTATACACTACAATCCAGTTCCCACTTCAGAAAATAGTGGTGGGGATTTGCATATAGACTGGGGAAACCTGGTGGGATATCCTCTTAACATTAAAAACATGACGCAGCCCCTTGCCTGTGCTGATATTTACTGTAACTGAACAGTGCTAGGACAGCATGGAGCTACTCACAAAGCATGTAGAGAGCAGACAGGAGGGCACTGTAGAGACAGAGCAATGCAACAGACAGGCTAGACTGGGATGCCTCACTAAGGAGGAAAAATAGGGGTACAGCAACTGTAATGAAGCTTTTCCACCCTGGATAAGCAAGTAAGGGGAAAGAGACAGAGCAGAGAGAAGGAATGTGTGCATACACACACACATTAGGCTCAGGTACTATGATAAGATGAATGTAAGTAGACAGGACGCAACATACAAAATTAGGTTGCTGATGGATCCAGCCCAGTTCCACTGAATACAAACCCATCTCCATTAGCAGCCACAGTTTTCAAATGTGGGTGCCTAAGGCTGGCCAACTGAAGCCTCCTGTTGGGACCTAACTCCTAAAAATCCTGGTTGTCTGAAGCTTCCACCAGGGGTCATGCAAACCACACTTATGAAAAGAAGAGGCAGTTCCCTTCAGGTCTGCAAACACAAAGGTGGGTGGGAATGCCCAGTTCTGCTTCCTCCCTTTCAAAACTAAAAGGGTAGAGCTTCTCTGTACTCCACAAGCCCAGGTGGTAGCTTATAGTAGCAGAAAAGCAATGATCATTTCCCATAGGCTACTTCAGACTATTCTGTTTTTTCTGCTGATCTGAGGGAAACAGGAAAATGAAGAAAGTGTATTCCTGCTACAGGGGATACAGTGTGAATAGGACTGCATTAGATGCCGTTCTAGCATGGTTTTCTTAGCCGATGTTTTTTTATTCGAGATCTAGAGCAGCGCTTAGGACAAGAATGCTAGCCTTGGAACTGGACCACCTCAATAATGAATCCCCCTTTTCTTTGCCACACAAAATACCCATCTCTTCTCTGCCATGAGATAATACTGTTAGCTTATTTCTCTTAAGTAGCAATTTCACAAGAGCTTTAAGTCAACCTAGAAAGTGCCAGTCCAGCCTTCTCCCCATCTATAGACACACGAGCTGGCTGCTGCCTTTGTGTCACCATTAGCAATTGTATGACTCTGTGGTTAGCCAGATGAGAAAGCTGATCCCAGCCAAAACAAATTTTGTTGTGGTTTTGGTGGGTTAGTTTTCAGTCAACCAAGAAAGTTCACTTGGATTCCCACAAAGCTGCAGGGGCTGGAAGAGGTGAGAACACACACAAAAGCTGAGGGCACAAAGACTTCTTTTGTTTTGATAGCAACACATACTCAGGTTGGCTTGAGCCTGTTGGGAAACTGCACCTCAGAGTTGTAGTTTGATAACACCAGGCTGGTCCGGACACCAAGAGAGAGCAGTCTCACTGTCCCAGAGCAGTTTGTGCCTCCCCATTCCTCCTGTACTGACACAAATGCTTCTGTAGCTGTATTACAAGACTCACTGAGGAATTGCTCAGCTAGTTCTCAGTGGGATCAGTTCCCTGACCTGATTCAGAAGCACTGGTGTGTGTTCAGACAAAGAACATGTGTTGGGAGGATGGGCAGCAATAGGGAAAGCAGAAGGCAGGACTTGCTGCTTCTAGTGAATGCTGGGTTTGAGTAACTACAGCAGTAAATAGTAACCTGCTAGAAGCCACTCTTTGTTGTCATTCCTTTCAAGTTAAAAGTTTTGCCCCTAGACAGTCGAGCTGGGCCATCTCTGTACCACAACGCCCAGCAGCAGCTCCCATCACACAGAGTTATTGTCGCAGAAGAATTGATCATTTTGCGAACAGTGATGCCAAAAGCACTAGCAGGAAAAGCAGCCACGTAATAATGTGCAGTATTGCCATTCAATCCAATTACCATGGCTGTTAACTTGCCACTTCAGGTGTGTGAAGGAGGAGGTAGTAAAAGGAATAAAATAAACCATCTCCCCATTTATTTCAGAAAATGCAGTTCCATTTTCCACTTAGCACAACACTGGGGCATTGTTGCCACTGTGCCATTGTACACACATATTTCCACCTAGAGGAAAACTACCATCTGCTTTAGATAAATGATGCCACAGAAGATCCAAGCAAACAGACGAATAAAATCCAATTACCATGATTTTTTTTTAAAAGTACAAACTCAGAAACAAGTGAAAGACAGATTTAGGATAGGTTTTTCATGAAGTACAGTGGGCAGTGCATCTCCTGGGGTATCTCCTAGACTAGCAGTTGTAGCATTCAGATAATTCTAGTGGGACGCAGATTCAGTCCAGGCAACATGACAGAATGCTCCAATGTTCACATCAACACTGGCAACATTGGGGATGGGCACAGAGCTTTCACTCTGCTCACTCTGCTTTTAATGCAGAACATAACAGCATAGTATTTAAATACATGATCACAAATCACTCTTCAAAATGACTGTTGTTTCCCACAGTTTCTACAAAAATCCTCAACAGTTGTACCATCTTCACCACAGATTATGGATGAAAGAAAGTCTATTTGTCAGAATGGCTTGCTGCCTTCTCTATGACTCCTCCTTTTAAGTAGAATCCCTCCCTCCGAAGTAGTGACAGATCTTCAACCCTTGTGAATATGCTTGACCCTACATGCGTAATACATTCATACCAGTTTACACCAGCTTTGCACTCATCCCTTTATGTTTTCCTAAATTTGTCATCTCCTGCATACTATATATTCAAGAGCATCCTCTGATTTATCAGAAGATAGTCATACAAAGCTGGCAATTATTTTATTCTCATGTTTGCTTCCCCTCAGAAGATAGCTTCACAAAACAATTTATCGAGCTGAATAGGTTCCTGACTTCTCTTAACAACTCATCCCTTTTTGCCCCCAGTTTTCTGCCTCCTCACTGAGCTGAAAACAGATTTGGGCACATGTGTTAAAATATATCAGTAAAACAATTTGGGTTTAAAACTTTTTTTAAAATCATTTTACGCCATTCACATCTGCACCACTGAGGTAGTGATAACTTTTGCACAAGACTTGGAAACAACAGCTGGAGGAAGACGGGAAGCTTTTGCATTGTCATGATCACCTAAACGAGTGTAATGTAGTGTTATGCTCCGATGGTTTGTCTACACTGGAGTAGCGTATGTGGGCAAATCCAGGCTAGCTTTAACCTGGTAGCACAGGTATTAATAGGAACAAGGCACAGGCATTACAGATGTAATCATAATTCAGGTCGCCAAGTGAATTATTATGGTCATGCTGAAGTCCTTGCTATCAAATTTTCCCCACTATAGTTATGCAGCTACTTTGTTTGCACCACAAATGTACATGTATTACAGAGCAGCAGTGCTACTCTATTCGGGTTTAGGTTTCTATTGAGCTACTGTAATACTTATTTACATGTCAATGCAACTAACCATATTGTTTATTTGACCCATACTCCAGCTGTCTGAATAAAGATTAATTCCTTCCCTTCTCCAAAGAGGAACTAGACCAGGAGTCCTTCACAATATTGTTCAGCTATTTCCCTTGGGGGTGATAAACACAATGTATGGACCCAGTTCTGCTTTTCCAAAGAAATTGTCCCACTGAGTCAAAAGAACAAAGGGTCAAGGCTACAGAAGCTTGGTCGGACCACTGCTACATAAACATAGCGGAGGCCCTCACTGCAGAACCAGACAAACATTTTCAGGGTTGCACTAGTAAAGTTAAGGTTACATTCCCTTAAACTCTTAAGGGCAAATTAAAAGAGAAGTTCAGTCAATATGAGGCAAAGCAGAAAGGTGCTAGTTCCACTTCATGAGAAAAGCTTCACTAGCCCTAAGAAGCCACTTTACGTGCCTCCACAATTTGGCAAGTCTCCCATCAAAAGACCAGACTGTAGAATTTCACAGCTAGTTAACATCTAATTAATCAACATTAAACTATTTGGCAGTAGGCAAAATTATGGTAATACTGTCTGAATTAAGCAGTCATTGCCATTTGCTAACATTATGTACAATCAGGTTCCTGGAAGCCCTGTTTCAGGGAAGTAATGGAGTCATGTTGGAACTCCCTGACATTTACACTGCACCTTTTATTCTAAAGCATGTCCCCTATTATAGGCTAGGACTGTCAGACATGTCTTAGGGCAGTCAGTCAACAAGAGCTGTGCACCCACCTCCTTCTGTCACCTCTGAAAATCTCAGCCCATACACATGGAATTTCAGCAGCTCCAGGGAATGACAGCAGCAGCTAGCTGAGGGCTCCAGTTCACGTATGCAGGAGAATGGAGCTGCAGCACCTCAGACAGATACTGCTGGCCTTACAGTTACGGCTTATTTACTTACTTATAGCTGCTGGTTCCCATCCTTTCATGGAGGTTACTGCCCCTGGACCAGAGATTATTTAGCACACACTTATCTGCTCTTGAATTATTTGCAACTTGGTTTATTCATGTAAACTCAAAATGGCAATGATGTACATGAATACGAGACCAAAGAACCCCTCAGGAGTAGAACTCCAATCTGTTAGCTTTCCCTGCTATGGAGATGATTAGCTCCTGAAGGGAGACAAGGCAGAAAATTGAGGAAAAACACTGTTATCTGCCATAGCCAAATTAACTTCTAAATGTCAACTGGACACTGAGGTAAATCACTAATGGATGCAGTTAAACTTCCCAGGATTGCACCAGGACAAAATCATACTGCACATCATGGGGTCTCTAATGGCCAAAAGAGACACTGCTTTTAACTTAACATCTAAAAATGCTATGGCCTCCATGCCTAGATTCCTGTGAGCTCCTCACAACACCTAGGCCATCAG